TCTGCGTATGTGAACTTGCATTTTCTCATTCCTATCAAGCACAAGTGCTGTATTTTAGTAAAATGCAGAGATTGTTTCTTGCAACATGTCCTGGAATTCCTGAGCTCCCAGTTCTGGGCCAAGGTTGAAAGCAGTGATTGATGGTGTAGGTTGATTGCAACATCCAAAGGGTCATGGAGCAAAAAGATAATGAGTTCGGCTCATCTGCCTCTGTTCCTGTGGGAGGGATACCTGTAGGTGCAGTAATTTTTCCGATCTGTTAGGAGCCATTTGCATGAGACTTCAGAGAGATGAGAGCTAACTGATTTATAGCGTGTGTGAACCAGCAACTTGGGGAAGTGTGGGAGACCCTGAATGCATCTTCACTTCCCTAAGGCAGTAATGTGAGCAGACTTCCAGAGCTGGCACTGACTGAGGATTTTCTGTAGCTTTCCACTGCTCCCTTGGCTGTGCTGCGCCCAGAGCACTGCATGCCCTGTCCCCAAGCACGTGGCCGGGCAGCAGTTGTGTGCTAGTTTGTCAGGGAATTTGTCTTATTTGTACTTCATAAGCAGTCAGAAGGAGGAATTTGAACGTCATTGGATCCAGCAGCAGTAACCTCTGCTCTCCTTTCCCTCTTCTCTCCCGTGATGTGGCTGTGGCTCTCACGCTCCTCCCAGTGTGACTGCGTTTTGTGCTTGGAGGTCTGCTTGGAAGCTGGCGAGAGCCGGCATCAGGAGGGGGATGGAAGCGACGTGTCTGTCAGGTGCAGGCAGATTGTGCCATCTAATCCCCGGCTGTTGTCTGCAGCATTTGTCAAGGCCTCCGCTGGCCTGCTCCGTTTCATCAGAGGTATCGCTAGCATTCATCTAGGCTGGCAGCATTTCAACAGCTGTTAATCCTCTTTGTATCTTTAAGCACTGTGACCGCTGACAAGCTCCCGTGCTTTCAGGTGTCAAAATATCTGAAGATAGCTCTGGGGACTTTTTTATTTTTTTTAATCCCAACACCTTCTGATCTATTGACCCAATCTGAACTGATGGAGGAATCTGTATCCAAGGCTCACTTCTTGATGCTGCTTGATGTTTGCCAAAAATTGTGCCTACAATCAAATCCATTTCTAGTTCCTCATGCTCACGATACTTAGTTTTGTCTTACATGTTACCGCATGTTTTACTGAAGTTTAAGGAATGCGGTTTAATGTCAGTGTGAGAATGAGCTGGCAGGGTTTTCTCTTTGTGCTTCCCTCCTGCAATAGCCCTGAGAACTCCTTTTGCTATGTCGTCTTCTGGATTCCTTTGCTTTATGTTGCGGAAAGGACCTGGGCAGTGTAATGAGATGTAATGGTGGAGGAACGCTGAGAAAATACAGCTTCAAGTTTTAAATCCAGTTTCCTTTGAAAAGGGAATTTTTAGTCCAAAGGTTTCCAGGGAAGAGCAGGGGGCAAGGAGATAGCAGCTAAGCTGTTGCAGCAAAGCAGCAGGGTAAAGGAAAGTGGTTCTGTTGGTCTTTAGGCTCTAGTTATGTATTTTTATAACTTCTCAGTGTTTTTATTATTTGCTACGAACCATCATTTAATAGCAGGAGAAAATCTTTCAAACTAACATTTCTTTGTTTTGGTTGTTCGTCCTCTCTGGAGAGCTCTCTCCCCATATGACATCTCTCATGTTCTGAGGTTGGCTCCCCTAAGGCTCAGCTTTATTGAGAGAAGTGAAACATTTTAGGTGGTTCATTCATTCTTTCTTTGTCTCTTGTTATTTTAGCCCTTACAGTGTCTTTTGGTCATGTTTTTAAGCTTATTTCTGCAACTAAGACTGCCAGGAGCTTTATTTAATAATAGTCAAGGTCTCATGTTCAATTTTTTCTTTGTGGGCTGCCATTTTATCTCAAGCATCGAATATTGTGAGAGTAAATTAAAAGCGGCATGGGTGTCCTCTAATTTTGTGTTGAACATTCTGCTGTAAGACTGAATATTGTTTTAGGAAGTTGAAAGTCTTTGCTAAGATCATGGGCATCTCTGCCTTCCTTTTAAGTGCAAATGCTGCACCTTGATCTGGCTGAGGAGCCCTGGTGGGTGGGTGACTGCTGGAGACACCGGAAGTTTTTAGGTGGCTCCTAGCCTGCTTCCTCATTCGCAACCTTAATGAGTCGTGCAGTTTGTTAGGCATTGGAACTTTGTGCGCTGCCAGAACGCAATGGGGCAAAACACTGCGAGGAAGGAGACCTTGCATCTGGAGTTGTATAGATTGAGGATACTGGGAAGATTGTCCCCACGTAACGGAACCTGCCATGACTATGCCTGTGCTGAAAGGCTCTTCCTTGCTACTGAAGAAAACGCCATTTTCCCAAGGAAGGAAAAGGCCTGGAGGCCATGGAAAACCTGTATAACAAGCCCTCTTGTTGAACAAACTTGGGTTTAAATGGTAAAACTGTTTTTCTTACTTGAGGAAGCATTTGAAGATAATGATTCATGGCATCAGAAATACTGCTTCGTTGGGTTTTAGGCTTTTTGAAAGGGAAGAAGGAGGAGGAGGAGGAAGAGTTCTGATCCAGTGCAAGAGGGTCATTGAAATCCCATGCAGTTGAATCCTTTTAATTTGTAAAACAGAGCAGCTTTTAGCTTTAGGTTGAATGTCTGTGCCCCTCTTTGATCTTTGCGTTGTGCCATGTTCCTTGTGGTTTCTTTGAGGCCAGTCTTCCTCTTGCTGAGAATCTTGCTTCCCCGCTCAGGTTCTCACTTGCCTGCTTCTCATCAGCTTCAAACTCTGGAGCTGTTTCATACTGGTTTCTTTCCCAGCTATTTTCGTCCATATATGCAGCTGATTTAGTTGAAGCTGGGTCTGGCTGTAGTAGTGGGCAGATGGACTCTCCATAATAAACTGGGCAAGGTTGTGCTGCATCCACTTTAATTGACAGTGCAATCAGCAAATGAATCTGTTGGCCACTTTTCTCTTTCTTTAGGTGGGTTAAATGCCAACCTCGTGCTGGGTCTCAAGTACAACGTATTTGTTCCTGTTTTCCTCTCCTGCTGCTGTTTTACTGCACAGTGCTGCAAGCTAATAGTATCTGACGGGGCTACTTCCTATTGCCTGAAAAATGTTTAATTTTACTACCTTGCTTTCTCACTTTCCCACTTTCTCTCATTTTGATCTCTCAAATCCAGTTCCTTTGAGAAATCAGACAGTATGAAATATGAAAATTGCTTGGTTAGTAATCGGGGGAAACAGTGAGGCTTATGAAACCCATGGAGATAATGCTTACATCTACTTACTCATATTATTTAATTTTTAATGGCAAATTTAATTAATGGAGCACAGGTCTTGTGGTTTCATGTGTGAATAAGTAACAGCAGGGAGCTGAAAGTCGTGAGGTCTGTTTACAGGACAGGGAAAAGGCTCCATTAAAAGCTGAACTTTTTCATTATAGGAAGGAATAAAATGGGTTTAATAGCATAGAAGTTTGACCAGTGTGTAGCAAGTAAGTAAATGAAAACATTAATGGCAATTTTGATAGCAAAATGCATTTTGAAGTGGTTACTCATCCATGATTTTTCACTTTAAGTCTGTCTCCTAGGTCAAAGTTTGGAGAAGGAAAGTCTATTCTGTGGCGTTTTTTTCATTATGTGACATAAATTCAGAGATAAAACCAGAGATAAATGCTTAAATATAGCACCTTGAAGTCTAGGCTTTGAAAACCTTTACAGACCTTCCAATTAGTCAAGCTTCACACAACTTCAGTGATGCAGGTAGCTGTTATCCCTGGCTTGCAGATGGAAAATGGTGACTTGCCCATGACTGCTCCAATGGCAGAGCTGCTAATAGAACTTGAGTCATATCTGCCCCTTCTCTAACCACTGAGAAATACGTGCAGTCTGACCGTGTGCAGGACCACAACTGCTTTTATGGGAAAATAAAGAAGCAGGAGTAGTGTTCTATTTAGGATGACCAGATTTGAAGAGAGAAGATAGCTACACCTGGCCCAGCTGAACAGCTGTCTTTGCTTTTGCTTTTGTCACTTCTTTGAGTATCACATACTTTCTGTATATGCCTTTTCAGACTAAAGGCCTCGCAGATGAGCTTTGAGAGAGGGAATTGCAGCTATTTCAGCATGAAGTCCAGAGGCTTTGCCTGCAGCAGCCCCATCAGCAGTTCAGTGACACGAGCCCACACAGCAAAGCTGCTGGGATGCACAGCGGTTCCCTCCTGCTGCTTTGCTTGGGAGGCCTCAGTGCAGCACATCCTCAGTGCTCGGTGGCTGAGCAGCTCTGAACTAAGACTTTCTGTGCAAGCTCAGGAGAATTCAGTGCAAACCTCTTAAGCCCTGCAGCAAGACACTACAGACTCTGTTTGGCAAAGCCTTAGCTGATACCTGATATGCCTTCCTATGTTGTTAAAAGGGAAACAGGCTGCATAATTTTCTTTTAAAGAATAAGTAACATAAGCAGAAGCACTGAAATGTAAAATGGATTTTCCTGTGCTAGCAGCCAATTTTGATACTCTGCACGTCAGTAACTTACAAGATTCTTCACAGCAATTAATGTGAAAGAACAAAGCACAGCCTAACTCAAAATAACTCAGGGTAGGAAACATCGTGTTTTTGTGGGTATGTGGAATAATCAAAGCCCTCTCTTTTCCTTCACAAAGGTGAAGTGTGTAAGAAAGACACGAATTGCAGAATGGTTTGAGTTGGAGGGCTCCTTAACGATCAGCCAGTTCCAATCCCCTACCATGGGCAGGGTTGCCACCCTTTAGATCAAACTGCCCAGAGCCCCATCTGACCTGCTTGGGATGCCTTTGGAGATGGGACACCCATAACCTCTCTGGACACATTGCAGCCTTGATGAGTTTTCTTGCAAATAAACTTTTAAGCATTCTTCTTTTGTGCTCTTTGAACCTAGCATGCTTTTTGTTGTTGGAAATGGTTATTAATTATAGAATTAGATACATTATATATATCCCTGATGGGATAAGTTCTGAGATGCCTTTCATTTTTAGAGCTGAGCATTATGTTCTTTGTTGCAGAATGCAGAAATCTACAAGCTGACGTCGGAGCAGTACCAGGAGGCAGCCACCAAGGCAGAGGAATGGATAAAGTGAGAAACCATTTTTGTTCTTTTCTGTAGCTCCAGTTTTGTTCTGTGATGCTGTGTGTATAGACACTGGACAATCTGGTAAACAGGGTGTGAAGTTACCTCTTGTCACATGTTTGGGAGGCTGAAGGGCTGCATACCAGCTTCCTTTCCTTCTCTGCTGAGCTTGACAGCAATTAGTATAAAGTTTTCAGGTCTTGCAAGGGAAGAAAAAGAAAGAAGATGTGGACTAGAAAATCCAAATAAATCGAGAATAATGACCAGGGGTTTTAAAATAATAGCAATGGAACATGTTTGATCTGCTCCAACTTTGACCCAGTGTACTTAGCCTATACATTCCACCATTGGGCTAATGTGTGCGAGAATGAAAAATATCCCTTGAGAAGTTTTGCCTTGTCCAAAGAAGAAAAAGATAAGTAGTTGAAACTGTAGCCACGTAAATTTCCATCAAATAGAGTTGTAGTTAGCATAAATTCTTTCTTAAAATGGGTGCAGTGTATTTCTAACCTCCTTAACTGGCCGTGGTAGAATTACTTTTGTAATTGTTTTTAACCTTTTGTATTGTTTTTTTGCCGTGAGCCTATTTAGTATCTAAATTCCATTTGTATTTGCCAGTAGTGTTACATGGCTTATTGTTCCACATTCACTAACAGCCGTCAAAAAATATTTTCTATAATTCCTTATTATTAATGAATCCAAAGCAATTATACTGTCACGAGCAACACTCAGATCTCAGTTGGGTAAACAGTTGGCCAACATGCAGCAAACTGGAGTAGCAGCATATGTAGTCCAGTTGGGCCCAGTCCAGATTGCATGATACTTAATTGCATAAATAGATTATATATCAGTGATGAATATGTTAGTGGAGTGTACAGTATATTGTGCTGTCTTCATTTAAAATTAAATTTGGCTGCCAAAGCATTGCATAACCTGTTGTAATCTCGCATTTTTGTTTGGACAGTGAAGCACAAAGTTGCTAAAGAAGCCAAAACAAGGCAGCTAACACATCGCATTCATTTTCATACAGATTTCCATAGTAGAATTCTTAAGCACTGTTCTAAAATAAAATGTAAAAAAAAAAAAATAATAATCCATAAAGTTCTGAGAATCTTTCATCAGTTGAGTTTTCTCTTAAATTTGCTTCTTCAGGTGTGTGATCAGATGTTGGGAATAGATGTAACAATGTTCTGATCTTATAACTTTGTAAAGGAAGAGATGTGACCTTGGGTTATGTTCTTCACTTCCTATTACAGACTTTAACCTATTTTTATGGTATTCTTAAGCTGGATTCCTGAGGTTTAGTTTGGTCTCTTCTGATTCTTGTGGAGATGAAAACTGGTGACATAGGAGATGCTCTCGTAATGGAAGCATTTCTCATAAGGGTTGCTGGCTGTAGCCAGTGTAAGTACGAGTTGATTTTTTTTTCATTCAGAATTCAAACATTTTTTTGGTTATGGTCTCGTGCTAGGGGAGGGGTGAAGGGTTCCTCCCACTTTGAGTCCTTAACATCTGCTAATCCCTGGCTTCTGGCCTTACCATACAGTGCTTTTCTGTTTGAACGGCGTATGAACTTCCCCTATCATAAGGGACAGATTCCTGGCAGCCAAGAGGGACGCCTGCCCTACTAGAATTTCATTGTGAGAAGACAGCATGACTGAGGAGTGCCTTGACTTGAGGAGAGAGAAGCTGTGTGGCACTAGTGAAACTGGGGGAGCAAGTGAACATCATACTTCTATCCCTTTACAGTTCAAGTTGTAAGCCATAACCAGTATTGCTGTGAGCTACGTGTTGGAGCCTTGGACAGTGCATAGCTAGAACAGTCTAGGACTGATCATTTGATAACTGAACGTGAAGGAAGAATCACTGCGTTAGCCTATCAGTTTGCACTGTGAGTCTGATTCTTACAGCAGTGTGCAGCCATCTTTTTTGGGGATTGTTCCCTCAGTGTACAAAGTGCAGAAAACACAGGGAGCGCACATGCATCAGGTGGGGTCACCGTATAGCTGGGATGGAGTTGGGGGACCTTCTGTCATATGTTGGCATTTGTGCTTGTTTGGTTGGACTTGAAATTTGCTTGTTAAGAGATCCTCTTCTTAGGCTTTGCGCATTCAGATCTTTCTGCAGCTTGTTTATAGTAAAAAATTACAAGGTCCTGTGAATTCGGTGGAAATAATTTGTTCATCTTGTTTTGCAATTTCACATTAGACATACAGGCACAGTAAGTGCTAAGCTAGGTAAGGCTGATTTATGTAGATCTAGTAACTTGGATGACACAAGTAAACTCCAGGAAAATTACATGAACTGAAATGTAGCCAAATTATTGAATGAAGCACAGGTCTGTGTGTTTGCAAGTAGGGTTTCAACAGCTCCTATATTAAAAGCAGATCAGGAATGGCATTTTTTCCATTTAATGAGGAAAATGCATTTCCTCCGTCCCATAGTGTCTCATCCCTGCCTTATCCCATCCTCGTCTCGCTGTGAACCTGTCCTCTGATGCCTGCCCATTGTGAGAACAGTCTGCACAGCATTTGTTGCTGTCTGCTGCTGTGTACAGGTGGAGCTGATGGATGAAGGGAGGGCTAGAATTGGGTCTGTTTCCATAGTGAGTGCACTGTTTTTTCAGAGTCTGCATTGAAGCAAAGATAAGAAATACCTGAAACAAACAAACAAAAAAAAGCATTTTCTTGGCACTTATTGACTTTTGTAAAATCTTTTATCAACATCTATGGCTTTGCACAGATAGTCCGTGGAACACTTGACCATTTTCTTTCCTTAATGATTATCAAGCATTTCAGTATTCAAGAATACTGCGCAAGCTATCTACCAGTGATGCTTTGCAGCATGCCTGCAAGACAAGCAGGTAAGCCATCTCCATTTGTACAGGAACAGAAGCTAAGTGCTTGAGTGCAGAGCTTCACATTAAGTCACTGGCACAGTCATTAGCTCCTGGTTCCTACTTCAGGGCAGGATACCTGCGTGGCCTGGCTACTGCGACACGCTTTGTTTCTCATCTCCTCACCTGAGCCCAACCTGCTCCTGCATTCCTCCCACCTTGGTGTCTCGTTCTTTGTTCTGGGCTCTGTCCGAGCTCTTTCTCCCAGAAAGAAGATCCTAGCAACAAGAAACCAGTAAGCACAGCTTTCAGCACCTTGAGCAACTTGCCCTTGTTGCTTACATGCTGTGGTGAATTGGACTCTTGCCACGGACATATTGTCTTTATGATGTTATTATAATTGATGCGTTATTATTTTTCTCTTTTGTTAACCAGTAGAATTACTCTGGGGACCTGGAACTTTTTTCCTTCCCTGTTTAGCAAACTGCACATCAGTAACCACCCACAAAAGAAGCAGCGTGTAAAGAAAAAGCCAGCGCTCCTCGCCCTTCGCTTCGTTCCACATCCTTTTCTCAGTGCTCATAGAGCCATGACTCAGACTGGGTTTAGAGAAGACAACTTGCTAATCCTCTCCCTGCTACAGAGAATAAAATGGCATTTCATTCCAAGCTCTATTAATGCGCTCGCTCCAGGGATAAAGCAGCACTCCCAAAAGGCAGTGGCCAAATTTTTTTTTCAGTTGCGTTGTCTTTGTCTTCTTTTGAGTGTTACATTTAGATTAGCTTCTGAGGATTAAATGTTATTACAGTCTGTGAATCTGTTAAGGGGAAGGGAAAAAAGCGTCAGTAAAGAGGTTATAGCTTAGTGCAGGCACTTTGGATTTATCCTCAGAATGCTGGGGTAGTTGGTTTTTTTTTTTATAATAAATTTGATTTCTTTTGTGAAGGTTGCCTTATTTTTATTTTTGTGGTTGTTAAATTTGGTTGTGGGAGTTACCATGGGTGGGGGATGCGGTTTGCTCTGAAAGGTAAAGCTACGGGAACGGGGTGAGGGGATTAGGAAGCTGTTAAGAGATAAAACTGTTCAGAAGCGAGTTTCCTTCTGAGATCTCCCTATAGCTTGCTGAACCCTCCCTGAAGCTGCTTACAGACAGCTGTGCTGCGAGTTGTGCCCACAGAACTGCGTGTGCTCTGTGCTGTTATCCAGGAGTGTGTAAAGAACATCGCTATCTTACCCTGATAGAGATCAGCCCAGAATCCAGGGCAGCTTTCCAGGGAGGAAACTGCCAAAGAGATTTACGCCGCGTGGGACTTGTTATTTAAGAGGTCTGTTTAATGGTCCCGAGATCTTTCAACTTAATGGACATCAGTATTTAAGATGATTGCGTTAGAGAAACTGACAAGTACTAAGTATCCTCCTGGGTTGAATGTGGTGTTGAGAACTAAACTGCCTCCGTGGGGTGGGGGGAGAAAGTTCACAGGTGGACTGTCTGCTGCAGTGGGGGATTTGTGGCTCACTTTCCGGACTCGCAGAAATGAACGTTTTTATTGAATTGTGCAAAATGTCATGAGATTGATGATCCCTCAATTAAAATGACAGCCATAACTGGTACCTAGGAAAACTGCCTGTTCTTTTTTTTATTATTATTATTTTTTCCTTCCTTTGTGAAGATCTGGAAAGTTTCTAAGATACTGATGTGATGAAGCAGGGCTTTGTGGTAGATATCAAAATTAATAAACTCCTATCTATTTCAACAGAGGGCTGTGCCCACGAGTTGAGCTCTGAAATAGTTATTCTGTGGACAGTCGTGAAGCCTAAGGAGAAGGGTAAAGACATCAGTTTTCAAACAAAATTGCTTTGAGATTTCTCCTATCATTAGATTAGATAGATGATTAATTCAGCCTTGAAATTAAGAGCCCTTGCAATAGGGATTTAAGAGTTTTCAGGGATAAAAAGCTGTGATTAGTGCTTAGAGCTTGTCCTCAGCGTTAGCTCAGCGCAGTGCTTCTGCATGCTGACTGCAGTGATTACATCTTCCCCAAAAATGTTTGCCCCACCCTGGTCCTGTTCTTCCCTCAGCGCTCGGTTTGTGTTGGTGGTTGTTCTGTCTGTGGCTAGTCTGCTCCAGGTAAGCATTAATGAAGGAGATGGGTTATTAGCCAAGGCTTTG